TAATAATTTCTATGTGCCTAAAGATCCCCTAAACACAGATTTTCAGGTTTGATATTCTTCTGCCAGTATCAGAAGCAGATATTGCCCTGAACATATAAAACACAGAGCTATGGCAGTCACATAAGAGTAGAACTCAAAATGATGTGGACTCCATCAGTTTGTGGGCCCTGGATTTCCAAGTCTATTTCTCAGTTTTCAAAATGGAACTTTTAGCCAGGCATGGTGGTGGCACCCATGCAATCTCAGCACTCAGGAGGCTGAGGTAGGAAGATCATTGTGAGTTTGAGGCCAACCTGGGCTACAAAGTGAGCTCTAGGCCAGCCTGAACTGCATAGCGAGACCCTCTCTGATAAAGACCAAAGGAAAAAAAAAGGAATTTTTCCTCCTATCTCTGTATTAACCTGGAAAAAGCTGAGAAGCACTAGGATTACCTGGGTGGAGGCTCAGAATCAACACAGATTGGAAAGCACTATCTGATAAGGGAGGCAGAATCAGGACTCAATAAAAGCCTCTGAGGAGCCATCCAAGATCCTGAAGCCTGGAGTCGCTGCCTGGATTCCTGGGAGCCTGCGCACCCGGTCACCTCATCCAGCCCTGGTGAGTCACTGCCCTCCACAGCACATGCACCCCTCTGCCCTTAGCCAATCTCCACCGTGACCTGCAGCCCAAGATGCCCTTAATGTTCCTTTTTCTGCAGATTCAGATGATTAGATGTGAGGTTAGATTTTGCCTTCATGTACAGATTTGCATTCATCTAAAATAATTTGATTCTTGCAGTAAATATCTTTTTTTTTTTTTTTTTTTTGGTTTTTTGACACAGGGTCTGTGCCATGCAGTTCACGCTGGCCTTGCATCACTTTGTAGCCCAGGCTGGTCTCAAACTCACAGAGATCTACCTGCCTCATCCTCCCAAGTGCTGGCATTACAAGCATGCACCACCATGCCTGGCCTGAATTTGTTTGTGTTTTCTTCTTTTGTATGTTTAAGAGATGGTCTCACTACATAATTCAGGCTGTTCTTTCTTTCTTTCTTTTTTTTTTTTTTTTAGTTTGGCTAAGGGTTTGTCAATTTTATTCTTTTTTCTTTTCAACTTTTTTTATTTTAAAAAAGAGTCTCGCTATGTAGTTCAGGCTGGTCTTGAGCTCACTTTGTAGCCCAGGCTGGTCTCTAACTTGCAACGATCCGATCCTCCTGCCTCAGCCTCCCAAGTGCTGGGATTACAGGCATGAGCCACCATGCCCAGCTAGGCTGTTCTTGAATATGCTTTACTTGCCATGGTGGCCTCAGTGTCACAGTAATTCCCCTTCAGCCTCCTAAGTGCTAGGATTTTAGGCATGCTCTACCCTACCTGTCCATCAACCCCTAACTTTAAATGCATTGGGCTGGGGATTTAGCTCAGCGGCAAAAGCGCCTGCCTGGCAAGCGCAAGGTCGTGAGTTCGGTTCTCGGTACCGGAGAAAAACAAACAAACAAAAAATAATAAATGCATTAATTTATTAATAATTTTTCATGTCAGGATTTGAACCTAGGACCTTTGCGCTGAGGTACATCTTAGCCTAGTGGTTGTTTCATTTTTGTACAAATTGTCAGATGCTGCATACTCCAGGATGTATTCAAATTTGTGATCATCCTGCCTCTGCATCCAGCGTGGTTGGTTTACCTGGTTGTGTGACCACTCATGGTTTGTTTATTATTCTGAGAAGTCAGTTTATTACAGAGCTGAGAAAACATTTGATTATATCCACACCTACCATTTTTGGGGCATCTGAGGAGAAGTTTCTGTCAACATGTAACCTTAGCTAGGTCCAAATTTCATTACATTCCAAACTTGTTTTGTCTCTCAAATGCATCAAGTTCCCTAGGCTGAGTGGGAACCTCTGATCACCCTGAGTCTCATATATGCTGGAATGAAGTCCCTGCAACACCACTGCTGTGTGTGGGATTATAAAATATTTTCCCTTCTGTTATCAAAAATTATTATCAACTTTCTAATCATATGAATGAATAAGTTAGAAGTACTTTTTCCTCAAAAAGCTGAAAACCATTCTATGTAATCTTTTTAAAAGTGTATAAATTAGGTGTGGTCGAGCATGCCTATAATCCCAGCACTTCTTCTTTTTGTCTTATTGAGACAGGGTCTGTATATGCAGCTCAGGCTGGCCTTAAGCTCACTTTGTAGCTCAGGCTTGTCTCAAACTTCTGAGGATCCTTCTGCTTCAGCCTCCCAAGAGCTGGGATTACAGGCGTGTGCCACCACACCCGGCCTAATCCCAGGATTCTTGGGAGGCTGGGACCTGAGGATCCCCATGAGCTTGAGGCTAACCAAGGCTCCATAGTGAGTCCAATGCCAGCCTGAATTCTACAGCTAGACTCTGTTGCAAAAAAAGAAATAAAAAGTTCGATCTCTTTCATGCCCATAGCCATCCCTAAGTGATAAATTTGACTTGTGTGAGAAGATGGTGAGAGTATTTATAGCTCAACATTTTTCACCCTAACTTGAAAATACTCTATAATATTGCTACACAGACTTCACCACCGCTCACTGGTAATCTCTTAGTGCTGCAGCAAATGGCTGTGACCTGGGAAGAAGAAAGGAAGGGGATGACCATCCTGTAGAGTCGGAAGTTTGTAGTGAGCAGACAATCTGCTTTATCCGTTGTGACTGAGAGAGGTTATAAGTAAGGGGTTGATAATAGCAGCATGGCCTTGGGGGCTGTAGTGAGATTTCAGGGCCAGACACACAAGTCCTCAGAGCAAGATATCAGAAAACTTAGTGTTATTGTGCTTTTGTTTGATTTTTATTTATTGTTCAGACTGGGATAGCCTTAAACTCACTATGTAGCCCAGGCTGGCATTGCCTTCCCAGAGACCCTCCATCCCCACCTCCAGAGTACTGAGATTGGAGATGTAGCCACCACACCTAGCTGACATCAGTACATTCCCAGGGACAACATCAGGGTTTGCCTAAATTAATTCTAGCATTAAACACACATGGCCATGAGCTACTTAGGAAGGGGCTAATCCTCTGGACTGGGTGGTGGGCAAACTGAGGAAGGGTAAGTCATCTTCCCAAGGCCACACAGCTCCCTGAGGGCAGGCACAGAAACAAAGTGGGAGGTGAGGAAGTCATTACGGTCCATTGATTTCTGCATCATGGACCAGCAGGACAAGGCTATGCTGGGGATGGGAAGTACTGGGCATTACAGTGGAGACAAATCCTCCCCAGATTCACTGGAGAGATGAGGAAGAGGGTAAAGATTTAGGAACATTGCAGGAACAGAAATGCTGAGGAGTCTGAGAGGTCTCCTTACAATCTGACAGCCCAAATCCTCAATCCAAACTAGACATTATGGTAGAACTTCCCTCCAAGAATGAAGGATGATCAGGTACAACTGTGAACCCCATTCACAGATGAGAAGACCTTAGTTTACCAATCTGGGCACAGCCACACACCACAGTTGTGAAGAACTGATTTCAGGTAACTCCTGTTCCCCAGATTTCCACAGTGCAAAACCACACCTTGTCTTCATTGCCTTCCCCAAACAGCTCCTCTTCTGTTGAGCTCATTTATCTGCTCTCCCCTTCCAAACATACTTCCCCATCTTCCAAACCCCACCTCCACCAGCTTCTGATCTGTGTATAGTGAAGCCATGAAATTCATGGGGCTTATGTTCCTACAGCACCTGGGAATTCTGGAAAACTACGAATTTCAGCTGTGATCAGAAACGAGTGTATAAATATGCATTTTCATATTTTAAGCCTTGGCTGGGCCTGGTGTTGCACGCCTGTAATCCCAGCACTTGGGAGGCTGAGGTAGGAGGATACTTCTGAGTTTGAGTCCAGCCTTGGCTTCAAAATGAGCTTAAGGCCAGCCTGAACTGCATAGTGAGACCCTGTCTCAAAAAGACAAAAAAAAAAAATCATATTTTAAGCCCTAATTGTGCTATGACTACTACAGCTATGTAATTTATTAAAACCTTGTATTCTTAAATGCTTAGAAGTTATGCGGGTCTTGGTAGCATCTTAGGGATCCTAGGGCTTTAAGGAGAACAAAATAAAGAAAACATGAGACACATACATTCTGTATAAGCAACAAATTATGAAGCAAGAATGCTGGTGATCTGCAGAGTTGGGTTACAGTGCAGCCTTGATCAGCAGGTACAAGAACTGAATAATGCCCTCACATTGGCTATTTGCAAACCTCCCATGAAAGGACATTTGTGCTTTACACAAAATTGAGAGGGTTTCTGAAACAAGGCTCAGTTAGATTCTAAAGAAAAACTATGGAATAACAAAGACCCTAAACTCTAAACTGTAACTTCATGAGGTTATGCTATATTTGCATCCAGCACTGTACTTAATGGCCTCAGATATCTGCAAGTCACTGCTCACACCAGTGAGTGTCATCCTTCTCAGTCTATTTCCACTGCCAGATGATGTATAGGCTTTGGAACCAAAGGGAGAGGGACACACATCAGACCTGTCCCTGCTCCCACCAGCTCCTCTTTAAGAGGAGATTCCGGGTTCTACAATTATTTGAAATGAGAATTCATTGCTTAATTTTTCTTAGCCAGGTGCATTGTGGGAATTGATAAGTTAGAGACTGGGCCATAGGACTTTCCATTTTCCTGGTTCTATTTCCTTGGGGTGAGGATCAGAATATTTTCCAAACCTGGTGGGAGTCAGTTTCAGATTCCTTGGCTCACCTTTCACAGACGGTCCAGAGTCTGGGTGCTGTGATAGGAAATGTGGGTTTTCCTCTACCCTGATTCATCCTGGAGCCATCAGACACTCTTCCTGGGCTGACTACAAGCAGAAGTAAGGCTCTGGGACCAGAAGGCAAAGTAGATGTGGGACAGACTGGGGACACTTCCACTCTTGTCAGACCATGAACATTTTGGCTGTAGGTTGGTCTCCTAAAGGGTGAGAAGGGTTTTCTCGGCCCTGCTTGAAAGGACTTCTCTCTCCTTAGTGTATCCCCAGCACTCTTGGCCTTCCAGATTCACCAGGATGAACACCCAGTCCCCACCCCTACTGCAGAAGCTGGCAGTTCGGAGCTTGCTGAGGGACAAGACCTTGGCCATGGAGGCCCTGGAATATTTGCCAGGGGCGCTCTTTCCAGTAGTGTTCATGGAGGCCTTCACCAAGGGACATGGAGAGGTCCTCAAGGCCATGGTGCTGTCCTGGCCCTTTCCCTGCCTGCCCCTGGGAGCCCTGATGAGTATGATGAAAACAGAGATTTTGGATGCTCAGGTGGATGTTGGCCAGATGCAAAAAAGAATGCTACAAGCTGTGCTGGATGGGCTTGATGTACTGCTGAGCCAGAAGGTTCGCTCCAGGTGAGTGGAACCCAGGTGTCCTGGAGGGAGGGCTCTGGAATCAGGGAATGGCAGAAAGCGTCAGGGAGAGTGGGGGCTAAGGGTGACACAGTGGCTTCTGATGGTGCCTGGCAGAGGATTAGGGAAGTCTCAGGCATTGCTGGCCCACCTTGGCGGGCACTGCCAGATGGGGAGCTCAGCTGAGGGTGGAGGCCACTGTGAAAGAAAGGAGCAAGAAGTTCTTACTCCTCCCACGGGCACAGGGAATCGGGACCGTGATGATGTAAGGACAAAAAGAGAAGCAGAGAACTGCAGCATAGAAAGAGTAGCAGAGATAACCACGGACCTCAGAGATGAGGAAGGCACAGCAGGAAACTGGGTCCCGGCCTAAATTTTCACACCCATTTCTGCTTCACCCACAGGAGGTTGAGACTGCAAGTGCTAGATATGCGGGTCAAGCACCAGAATTTCTGGAGAGTCTGGGGTGGAAAAGAGTTGGAAATCTGCTCCAAAGATGCCACGAAGAGGAGAAAAACAGAGGAGACTGGGTCAAGGGGAGCAAAAAAGCAGCCCCTCAAGGTCATTTTACAACAGTGGCTCTATCAAGGGTATATGAGCCCAGTGGACTCTTCTGTTCTCAAGTGGGTACAGGAGAGAGATCTGGTGCAGCTGGACTGTGACAGGCTGGGTGTTACAGCCAAATGCTTTAAAACTGTCATGGAAGTTCTGGAAATGCTGAACATTGATTCTGTGCAGGAGGTGTGTGTGAGTCAGTGCTCCACACTCTTTACCTTGGCTGAGTTTGCCCCTTTCCTGGGTCAGATGCGAAATCTTCACAAACTCGTTCTCTCTGATGTCTCTCTGCCGGCCATCCTTTCCCCAGAGAAGGAAGAACAGTTATTTACCCAAATCACCTCTCAGTTTATTAATCTTCACTGTCTGCAAGAGATTTATATGGAAACTGTTCACTTCCTGGAAGGCCAGTTGGACCGGGTACTCAGGTAAGATGTGGAGCTCTCTCCGTATTCACAACAGCCTTTCTCTGTTTTAGAAAGACTAGTGACCATAGTGTGCACCCAAGAGATGTGACAGGCATCAAGCACTAGAGCACCAACACACAGCCTTTTTCACTCCTCAGTCCCACAGCATGGTGCCCCTGAGCCACTTTATTGAAGCTACCAGATGGGAGAGGGCCACCATGTCAGGATGCCAGGAGAAGGGGTCAGCGAGAGGGAGGCCAGTGTGTGACTTCTTCCTCAGAAATCCCTCCTGGGGGAAGGTGCTGAGAAATGCCAAGCCCTCTCTGATCCCCCAGCAGTCCCCATGACAAGCCTCTGCCCCAGGACAGGCTGGTGACCAGATGGAGGTTCAGGGGTCTGAGGCTGAGGGCAAGGAGCACAGGTGCAGGTCTGGGAACAGGGACACAAACTGCTGGCAGCCTCTTTAGGCAGCCCAGTATCTGTGGCCACATCTTGCCTGATGTTTGCTCCCTGCCTGGCTCCTGCTGCCCTCATCAGGAAAGTGCTGTGCTTTCTGCTTGGGAGTGAGGAGAGGGGAGTGTGGAGATCCAAGATTCACTCAAGCAGGTGATGGGAAATCCGCACCAGACTAAGCTGACTCATGGGACACTTGGTACACCATCTTGTTGTTCCGTCCACCCCCTACTTTGCCCCACCAAATGCAGATCTAACTGCCTGGTCTCTCTGCAGGTGCCTCCTGTCCCCACTGGAGACCCTCTCATTAACTCACTGCCAGCTCTCACACTCTGACTGGATCCAGCTGCCCCAGGCTGAGCAGACGAGACAGCTGAAAGTCTTGCAAATACGTTGTATTCGGCTGACTGATTTTAGCCCTGAGCCCCTCCAAATTCTTCTCAAGAACGTTGCAGCTACCTTGACCACCCTGCACTTGGAAAATTGTGGCATCACAGATGAACAGGTCTGTGACTTTCTGCCTTCACTGAGCTATTGCTCCCAGCTCACTACCTTCTGCTTCATGAGGAATTTCATGTCCATAGACACCATGAAGATGCTTCTGGGCCACACTGCCAAGCTGAGCAACTTAACCCTGGAGATGTACTCAGTTCCTCCAGAGGTTTATGTTCCATGGAATGGTGCCCTTCAGCAGATATTGAAGCAGGTTCATGAAGCACTGAGTAGAATCATGAAGCCACTAAACCATCCCAGGAGAGTCTGGTTTTGTATTGTTCACTTACAACTCTGTTTCACCTGGAAATTCCATAACATGCACCCTACTCCATGCTGGGGCTGCATCCCCGTGTAGTTGAGTGCACCTATCATACGCTTCTTTCTAGGACCCAGGAACACAGAGCTCTTCTTTCAGTGTGAGTGAGAAAAGAACAGGTGGGCTAGCAAGCAGGCACCTTAGAGAATCACTGACATAAGAGGAGAAGTCACCTTTGTGAACTGAGGACCTAGAGGGCAGCAGATGTAGGAATCCCAGTTGTTAGATGTCAATTCAGGCTTGAGAAGAATGAGTTCATGGATGTGAAGAAATTGTCAGAAATGAAGAGATTTGCATGTGAATCATCTGGTTTCTGCCATGATTATTTTACCTGGTTTCCAGCTCAGAGATCATGAATCTGCAGTCACTGGGGAAAAAAGTCCGTGAATTGTCTGATGAATGTGGTTTGGCCCCAGGAACGCCTGGCAATAAATAGAGATATTCCATGTTGTTCATTCCCTCCCATCCTTTGGTTTCTCCATCCACTGCTTCCCTCCATGCTTCCTGGTATTTCTCCCCCTTCCTAACATGCCTTCGTCACTGGGACTCAGTGTAGAACCAGCCCACTGAGCTGCAGCCACAGAAACTTCTGTTTCCAGACCAAGTCCTTCTAGATATCTGGCCTCTACTTGCACTTATGATCCTTTGATTTAACTTCCCAGAATCTGTGGTTATAGGTATAGACCTTTTTTTTGTTGTTGTTGTTTTTTTCTGGTACCAGGAACCGAACTCACGACCTTGCGCTTGCCAGGCAGGCGCTTTGCCGCTGAGCTAAATCCCCAGCCCCTGGTATAGACCTTTATGCTCAGCCTTTCCTCCTCACTTCTCTGCCCCTCTTTTGGATTAATCTAAAGTTGCCAACCTGAAATGCATGGATGAAATTAACTGTCTCACATAGGGTTTCTTTTTGAAGTTCAGGAGCTATGATCTTGACCGTGCCTGCTGTGGGAGCCACTGGGGAACCCAGGGTGTGAGAAAGAAATAGGAAGCTTCAGAGGAAAGGAGTCCTTGAGGGCTGCTGTGAGAGCAAACATTTGCTGACAGGATCCTGTGCCACAAAGGCCACACCAAGTCCTGGAAGAGTGAGGTTTATTGGGAAAACTTCCCTGGGGCCCTTGGTGTTAACCTGACACCAAAATCCTTGACACTGGTCATGGGTAGATCTAGGAGACTTATTTTTTGGTTCTTGGCTCTGCAGACAAAGTGCTTTACCTCCCAGGGGTTGCTGGGGTGGGCATTCAGTGGAGATGAAGTAACACCATAGTTTATGGAAAGAAAACACTGAAAAGGGATGCAGCTTAGTGCCGAGGCTCATGCCTTAATTGCCAGTACCATGAAACACAGAACAAGTCACAAGTCCTCTAGTTCATTTACATCTAGTACACCTCAATTCCTGAATTTATTTTCACTCAAACGATGCATTCTTCAGCCTCATATTCTTCTCTTTCAGACTGAAAGCTCTGGCCACTGCCTGTGGGTCCATCCTGCCTGGGAAACACCCCTTGTTGGAAGAACCCTGATATTAAAGGCCAATCCTGTGGGTCAGATCCACTAGGATGACTGGGTCTTGGGGTTGGACTCATGTTTCCTCCTCTCCAAACTCCCCAAGGAGACTTGGACATGTGTGACCCTCCTCCTCTGCCCATAGGAGCTGTGATCTCAGCTCTACAGCAGCTTCTGTTGGAGATTTCACCATCTCAAGCCAGCTCACTCTGCTGATCCCATTGGCAACACCTCTTTTCTCTTGTGGCCCAAAAGACTAAGTGTCCATCCCTGCCTTCAGGGATAGTGTTGAATTTTAACAGTCACCACTGTAGCTGGGGGTGGTGTTCTTTACCTGTAATCCCAGCACTGACAAGGCTGAGGCAGAAGGATCAGGATCACCATGAGTTGCAGGACAGCCTAGGCTAGGAAGTGAGTTCAAAGCAGCCTGAACTGCATAGTGAAACCCTGTCTCAAAAGGACAAAACAAAGTCACCATTGAATTGCATATTGTCACTCAAGCGTAGAATGCCCGCAACTTTGAGGCTGAGACACATAGACCACAAAGAATTTGCTCTTGTTTCTGTCTTGTGACGTTGATCGGCTGTATAGGTCAGGCTGGTCTTGTCCTCACTATCTAGCTCAAGCTGGTCTCAAACCCGTGGTCATGCTCCTGCTTCATCCTCCCTTGAGCCAGGATTACAGATGTGCAGCACCATATGCTCCCTTGGATCATGAGTTTGAATCCAGTCTGCATAACTTCTTAAGACCCTGTCTCAAATATTTTAAAAGTTCTCAGGATTTAGCTCAGAACTTTCTGGGTTCAGTCATTACTCCTGGGAGTAAAAAATGTCACCATGGATCTTTGTGGCAACTCCCATTTAGTTTCTTAGCCTCATTCAGAGAAAAGTCTTCTAGTCCTCAGACCTGATTCCTCAATAACAGAGTAATTATTTATGTTGGGTTACTCACAGGGCCCCAATGGGAATGTCCAGCTCCTTGCTTACCTCCCCTTCTTGTTGGGGCCCAATTCTGTGGACCTTCACCTTGAGCGTCTCTCAAACCCTCACTGGCTCCTCCCTGCCATGGTGATTGACACATGATCCGCAAAATTCCAAGTCAACTATTGACAGAGATTTCTCTTCTGTTCCCTGTGGGGTGACATCATTGTTTTCATAACACTGTCATAACTTTGATTTTGTTTTCAGTGGTGGTGGTCCTAAGATTGAATTTAGGGACTCTGCATTGATCTACTACTTCAGCATATGTTTGGTTTATTTTTGAATTTTAATATTGAATGATTGTCTGATTGCCTTACTGACTGATTGAGGTCTAACTGCTGAATGCAGAGCCATTGTTCTTAATTGCATCCCTGGCCCCATTTTTTATTTTAAGACTGAGACCTGGTGAAGTTGTTACATTTCTCAGGTGGGACTTGAACTGTTGTTCTTGTGCCTCATCCTGGGCTACACAATGAGTCTAAGACCAACCTGAAATATACAGTAAGACCACATCTCAAAAAATAAAAAAGGAAGGAAAGAAGCAAGAAGGAAGAAAAAAGAAAGAAAGATGGAAATAAAGAAGCAAAATACTTTAGAGAGAGAGAGAGAGAGAAATGCTGTTTCAGGATGAATACTAGTGTTGTCATTACATATATACAAAGACATAAATTGCTTTTTAAAATTTCAGAACATTCAGTGTAGTGGCCCTTCCCTGTCATCCCATCACTGGCTGGGAAGTAAGGAGCATGTCGATTTCCTGCTCAGCCTGAGCAACTCCGTAGCTCATCTCAAAATGAAGATTTAGCTGTGTGTAGTGGCTCACGCCTGTAATCCCAGCACCCTTTATGCTGAGGCAGGTTGATAATATTGAGTAAAAGTTCAGAGATAAGGAAGATTGTGTCTCAAAAAACATACTTAGACAAAAGCTCCGTATTTGAGGGTTAGAGTATTCCATTCACAATAGTGATAAGGAAGGAAGGAAGGAAGGAGGGAAGAAGAAAATGTAAAAATGAGGCAAAAGAGTGCAACAGCAAACAAAACACCAAAACTATGCTCAGAATTTGGAGGCAGATTTATATATGCTGATGGGTGTTGATTGGGATTCCTTTCAAATATTATGCCCTTAGGGCTGGTGGCTTAGGGCATATAGGACAGTGCAAGCAGGAAGCATAGAGGCAGAATGGCTGTCTACTGGGGATTGGTTTACAGAATGTTTGTCATTGTGACCAGCTGTACTACACAGTGACCAGCTGTTTTTAAAAGACAGGAACAACCGAAACTGGAGCAGGAACTTTATTACCTGGGCAATCAACAAACTGAAGTATGCTGCATGGACGGGGGCAATTTCTGCTACTCAAGGGATGAAGAAAAAGTATAGCTGCAACGCATCCACACATTCCATTCCCAGGTCGATCGATGCTCCCTCCTCCCACAGCTCCTGCCTCAGACCTTGGCCTTCCCGCATTTGGGCTCCTAGATGGAGAATTTCCTGCTTTTCCAAGGAACTCTGCTCTTCATCTCATACGGGGAGCTGTGGTCTGAGCACAAGGAACTGCTACCACTTTAGCTGTGTCACAGCTCTATTGTGGGCTTTCTTCCCCTATTTGTTTTTGTCAGGACTAGGGTTTGAACCAGGTACATTTGCATGGGCTTACCTTGGCATGCGCTTACATCCTTGCCCTTGTATTGATTTTTTTATTTTGAGAAAAGATCTCTCTAAAAGAGTCAGGTGTGGTGGTGCTGTCCTGTAATCCCAGCACTCAGAAGGTGAGACAATAGGATCACCAGGATTAACTGCAAAGAGAGGGAGGGGCCTGATGAGCATGCTGGGAAGGGAGGAGCTGGGACTGAAGGGTGTGGCAAGCAAGGGGATGAAAGAGGGAGGAGCAGAGGAGGAGATGCTCATCCTGGTTCTCTGGGATTCCCAGAGCCTGGGCACTGTCTCCTGAGTCTGCATCTGGTCAACCTTGGCCTCCATGAGGATGCCCCACCTCCCCCACACCTGCCAGTGTCCTGTGGAGACAAAGGACACAGATGGAACTGTGGATTCTGTGGCTTCTGTTTCTTCCAAAAGACAGGTTTAGGACACTGTTGATGGTATAGCTCTTTTTTGTTTGTTTTTCTCCAGTACCGGGAACCGAACTCATGACCTTGTGCTTGCCAGGCAAGCGCTTTTGCCGCTGAGCTAAATCCCCAGCCCCGATGGTATAGTTCTTGACCAAATGTCTTGGTTTTTTGCCCAGCTGGATTTCAACTCAATAGGAAGCCCAGGCAGGCCTTGAATGACAGATTCTCCTGCCTCAGCATCCCTTCCATTTGGACTATGGCTGGATATACAAAGTCAGGGTTAGAATTTTGTTTCGATTATAGATGTGTGCATTTGCCTTCACCCCTTATATCTTGCTTTGTGCATTGGTTTATGTCATTATATACCTTTTATTCAGACAGGGTCTCACTTTGTAGCCCAGGCTGACATTGAACTCACAGTAATCCTCCTGCCTCAGTGTCCCAAATGCTGGGATTATATGCATGAGCCACCACACCAGGCTATGTCCT